CGCCTCCCTCCTCCTAAAATTCTGCCTCAGACCATATTACTGAAATTGCACTTTTACGCACATAAATCAAAATTTACGCACATAAAAAAACTGAGCAACAGAACGGTACAATGAACGAGACCGCGCCTTACAGCATAAAACAAAAGCCGAAGTATTATGACATGTGGATGACACAGCAGAGAAGCACGAAAGATGATACGATGTCATATGAAGCAAATTTATAAAAATATTATAGCGTCTGTATGATAAAATGAGGAACATACTGAAAGCTCCGACGCATTCAAAAAGCTATCACGAAAAGGGCTGCCCACTCTGAAAAAGGCTGCCCTTTTAAAATCAGTGTTACTTCATAGATTCACCAGCCCAATCGCAAGAGCAATGTACAATTCCGTGCTGGATTTGCAAGCGCCATGCTGTCAAAGGTCGTACATTCAACTTGGGCGACAGTGCTCTAACGCTGTAAGCGCCAGATGAAAGCCGAGACAAAAACGATGATGCATTCAGACCAAAAGGGGGTCATCAATTTTTTCAAACATCGACAGCGATGGGCGCCCTTCACAATCGACAGGGTGATAATATGTCAGTTCGTTAACACAAACAAACCGAATGTCATTCACACAAGAAAGGAATAGAATAAAAAATCGACCGAATGAGAGAAGCAAGTGCATTAATGAAAGTTTCATGGTTGGAGGCCTATTTGAAACACTACGTTACATAGAGCTGACTGAGACAGAACCACCTGTTCCGCGTTGGCATTTTTAATTCTTGCTTTTCCATCTCAGAAAGAAGCCTAGAGGTGCTACTGTAAAAAATGCTGCCTAATGATGAAAAAAGAATTATTATCAGCAAGCCTCCAACCCGTAAAATCAACTGAAATGCCTGGCTGAGTAAACACTTATCCAAGAAACCATGAATGTGGCGAACGCGGATCCAAAACCCTCTTTTGCTAATTCCCAGAAGCCACCAACTGCGTCCTCGTCCATCTGAAATGCATTTTTTGTATTTTGAAAAAAAAAAAAGAAGACAGAGCTGTTACAACCACTTCACTTCTAAAAGCATAACATGCGAGTGCAGCATTGTGCATCCTTCTTGCCTCAGCCGGCAATCGTTGCCAAACTTTTCCGAATCCTAGTACAAGGTCACCAGTGAACAAGTCACGCCTGCTGCTATTTTAAAAAATGAGTAACATTTTCGCCTGACAAATACTTGTTTTCCCTCTATCACAGCGACAACCAGCAACTACGCATGTATTGGAACACTCTGTTGTCCACATGGTACTCCATCCATTAATCCCTTGCAGTCAGTATTCCACCTCTTCCTCTTCATTCCATCAAACTCCATCACTCAGCACAACCCGAATCAATTCGAAACTTCACTGCTGCACACTCCTCACCCAAAAAATCTGAAGCTGCGCGCACAGCGCAAACAAATCAAGTATGCTCGGCAGAAGTTCCCTTAAAGCCAGCACTGAGAGGGCCTGCTACTGACGTAAACAGACCGGTGCACCAGAAGCAATTCTATCAATGTTTTTCCGTCAATTCAATCAGCGATTCAACTTTTATCCTCGCCTATCAACAGTGCTACTGTGAGATGACACACGGCACATTTCTTCTAAACTTCCACAAACCACACTGTTTTCCAGCAGTGACCGCAATTTTCGAGACTCCTGCAGCTGCTCTTTCCTGAACCAAATGCTTCTGACAATGTCTGTACCGGCATCTGCTGCTTTTCTATCTTAACTGTTAGTTCGCTCGTCACTGTAGTAACTGCCAGCGTATGCCTCCTCATTTCCTTCCTCTCCGCCGAGCCGTTGCACTGAAAGCCAACCTCGTGGCCGTATATCAGAAAAGTTCAACGATAAATGCTGATTTGATTCACGGCTCTGGCTTCGCAACCCCATTTTCGTCGACGGCTTAGTTCTGAACAAAAACCTGAATCATTTTAAATCTGTCCAGAGAAGCATATCAACTGCAACCCCCACTGCCTGCCGACAGCTCCGCCATCACTGCCATGTACTTTTCGCATCCAGAAGCTCCGAATCACCGTTCGTCTCGCTGAAGCTGCGCTTTGCCGTACGGCCTGTTTTGAACTCTTTTCTCGGAAATCTGAAGATGATGGTTGTGCGAGGAGATTGCACCTCTTGCCTGGTCAGCTGATTCCCAGCAGTTCTTTGTCCTTGGTCTTAATACGCACAGCCTATTCAGGTCATCTCACACCTGAAATCCCATGCATAACCGCCACTTGTCTCTTTTGCGTCTGCATCCTTGTGCATGGCTTTTACTTCATTACCACACATCGAACGACCAGGCAGCGCTGCGTACTGCTCGCGTAGGCTCAGTAAGGCGCATTTTCTCGGACTGCTTGAAAATGCCCGTGCTGTTCTGTCGGGATGTTCGCCACCGCTGCTGCCACTGTCACACTAGGATGAAATAGGAAAACTTAACAGGAAATAAGAAAGAAATGCAACCTTCTGAAAATTAGTAGCGTAAAGCTGGCCGGCTGTTGTCGAGATCGCGATGTACAAAAGGATGGCTAGTAATCCATGAAGCGGGATGAAGCCCCAGAATATGCCGACAATTAGTGCCAGTATCTGCCTTCCCCAGTACAACACATCCAGCAGTTCATCTTTGTCCGGCCATTCGCTTCCGCTTACCAGTGCTTTCGACAACTAAACAAAAGTACTTTACTCAGGCGACAGTAAAATTGGTACAACTGAGTTTGTTAAGGGTATGGATTGCTGCACAATTTAAGCTAAATCTCCTTTCACGAAAGCACATCCTATTGTACTTGTGTTCACTACGAAAATTCAGTTTCCCTCGCCGAGTGATGTACACACCGCTTTCCGGTGGTCAACAGCATGCTGCGTTACCCACCAGAGAGCACTGTGCTCGGGAGAAGAGTTCTCACCACAGGCGCTGCTTGGAAGGCCCGTCAGCTAAGGATGGTTTCAGGAGAGACCCAAACCTGACTTTCAAAGGCTTTATATATAACAGTTTAATCAACTGTTGCTCTATCATCATATTCTTTCATATCACTGATGAAGCTGGCAGCTTCCCCACTCTCATCTATTTTAAACTTCCCTCACTCACCTATTTCCACACAGCCGTTCCATCACACCGGTGGTTTTTCTGTGCTCTTTTGGTACCGTTAAAACAATCTGCCCTGCCCACCAGCTGCCTCTCAATCTCATTATACAACCATCCCCAAACTCCTTTACCTGAGCAGCACTTCTTTGGCAGTATTGGCCATGCCAGGTCAAAACGGTAGTATTCAATTAGAAATATGCCGAAACTTGCCACTGGTGGCTTCTTAGGTCACTGTACGTCTCTCCCCTCGGCAAACGAGAAACACCAAGCCTGATGTTTCATTCCCCATACAATAACACAGTGGAATTGAGCTCACACCCGATCACTGTATCAGTGTTGCTTTTTGCTTCCCACTATTTAACTCGTTATTATTCTGCCCCAAGCAGCTGACAACATGCTCAGCGAACTGAATCTCATGGCGAAATAACAGCGGCAAAGCGTTTCTCTATCCATTTCGTTTTTCCTCTGTGGAGTTTCCTTCGCAGCTGGCCGCAAGCTCATTCTCAGTAAATTCTGCATCAGTTTTAGATTTTACGCAATCAGCTGTCCTTGAAAATAATCACTTGTAGCACTGCACCGTTCCTTTAATTTTTTGTAAGATAATTGGTAAAGGCTTGCAAGAAATAAACGTGGTCCGACGTGGCGCCTCTACCAGTTACTGTTTTCATGTGAAAAGGAGACTTCATGTATGTTTTGACGAGAAAGCCTTCAAAAATGCGAATATACGCCGAATCGAACTCGAATCTGATACAGAATATATTCCA